GCCATTTTCAACAATATAAACAGACTATTTGAAGAATTTAACATGAAATTTTATTTATACCAAGGCCAACTCTGATTTTTGTATGTCCTCGAGCTCCCCAAAACATTGCAACCTGCCAACCTCTCTTTTACCAAACAAGGGAATTGAACTACTTATATTTTAAGACAATTAAGCTAAATTTTATCACCAAAACTTGATATAATATTGTGGCCCTGAATCCAAACTTCATCTACTCAGACCGATCTTAGCTATTTGTTGTATTCCGTGTATGTGTATTTGCTTGATTCATGTAACACACACACATATATATATATATGCTATGATGCGCTATTGAAATAGAAATTCTAAAAGTAATTTACATATTTATTATAAGAATCTTTCTTTTGCTTATAAAAATTATATTAATTAGTAACTTTACACATAATACAGAGGTATCAGCATAGAAATAATTAAGTGGTCACAAAGCACTTTGGAGGCGGATTAATCATATGTGCATATATATAATGTTGATATTAATGTGTTATGTGTATTATATAGTAAAGGCCCATTATTTGGGTCTTGAGAGAAAAAGCGAGTTTGTGATTGGAGCACTTCAAATTATTCGGTTGCATGCAAAAATAAAAAAATAGAATCATATCTTCTGTTGGATTTGGATTATATTCCAGATTCTAACGTGACACTCACAGTTGATGTCACGAAAATATTATGAAATTATCTGCTTAGTAATCAGATCATATTGTAACGCTAATACTTTCATAATAATCTTATAGAAAAATCTCCATTAACTTATATTGGCGTGGGTGAATGCATTAAGACGCATCATATCATTTTGTGGGAGCATCATAACATATTGTTTGTGATCCTATAATTAACCTATTGAACACGTTCTAAAGTAATATTAATTAATTAATTGAAAAACAAAACTTTCGAACAACCACAATGTACACTTTCATGACTGGATTACGTGTTTTCGATCCATAACATATAACAACTGAAGTAAATTTAGAATCTCTACCTACGAATATCACAATAATATTTGGACTTTTTTTATTGACTATAAAATATATAAAACACTTGAAAATCAAATTTTAAAATATTTACTCGTAAATTATTTCTACTAACAGAAAATTTGAATGTATGAGTATGATAACTTTACATTTTAAACAAATACTTACATGTCTCTACATAATAACACCCTTAGATTTTTTAAGTTCAAGATTAATTTTTTTCATTATGATGGCTGCCAATCATTCCGAATGTTTGATTGGGGTATGAAAGAAATATGTTTTAATCAT